GGCGAGCGACTGCGGTCACCCCGGAACTGGCGAGGCGGTGAGCGGCTGCGGTCACCCCGGAATTGGCGAGGCGGTGAGCGACTGCGGTCACCATCGAGCCGACGGAGCGGGCTACGGCTTTCGCGGATGTGGCGCACAGGAGAGCGGCTACGATCGCGCTGGTAAACCGGGGAGCCATGCCTGCCTTGGAAGCGCCGCGGTGAGGGGCTGCGATCACGCAGATTGTGGAAATCCGTGCGATCGTGACGGGGCTGCCGTGGCGGCGAGAGCCGACGATCGGTGCGCCGGACCGGAGAGCGTGACCACGAGCGTGACCGTGACCGCGAATGGGGAGCACCACCCCGGCGCGAGGCTGGCATCGGGGACCGAGGCCGGGGAGAGCATGACCGCCGCGGTGACGGGGTCCGACTCCGAGACACCGGACGCTGACCACTCGGCGTGTCGCGTGTGCGATCTTCCTCATTCATGGGGGTAGCAGCATCGAGAGCGGCCGAGGGGCTTCGATCGCGACGGCTCCGGCGGCGAGTTCGGCGCGAGGAGGACTCATCAGCAGCAGTTGGCGACGCAGACGCATCCCGGCGACGAGTCCGACGGCGAGTCCGCCGCCGCTCCGACCGGCCGTCCTCCTCGTCATTGTTGGTCGAGGGGGAGGAGCTTCGGTCACGACGGCTTCGACGCCGGCGTCGGCGCGAGGTAGACTCGCAGTCGCTAGTGTCACTACCAGCCGAAGGGGAATGACTCCGCCGGCGTCGGTGGCTCCGACGCGAGCGCGATTCCGAGAGCGGCGCCTCCGGCGGGCCTGACGAGTTGAGAGTCCGTGAAAGTTGCGCTTCGAGCTGGAGCCGAGGTGGTGAGCGCTGGAAACGACGCGCAGAGAGACGGACACACACACACACACAGTGCTGCTGCATGGGCAGGGGGCCCGGGCAGGCGAAGGGAAATGAAATGAAAATGGACAAATATGCACGCACCGCGTCATGCAGACCCATGGGGCGACGGCCATCGGCGCGGCTCGATGCCTGGGCCATGGTCCGGCCAATGCTCGCGCGGGTGGCGGCCCGAGAAGCGGCCTCCTCCTCGGCCAGGCTGATGGCCGTGAAGGGGTCCTCTCGTAGGGCCGCCTGTAGCCGCTTGGCACTGAGTTGGCGTTCCTCCTCTTCGCGCATGGCTTCGGCCGCCGCCTCAGCCCGGTCGGCTTCATCGTCGGGGACCGTGGCAACGGAAGTCAAGGCACTCTGGCGCCCGGATAGGGGGACACCCTCACTCAGAGATGTGGGACCCTGGGGCCGGGTCTTCGAGGCGAAGTCAATTCGCCTCCGACCAAGAAGATAGTCCTCGCGCTCCTCGGTCACCGTTTGTGACCGTCCGGAATACATCCAGTCAAGCTGGGAGCTGGGAGCTCTGAGCGCCAGAGGCCGAGGGGTGACAGGAGGGAAGTGGTTAGAACTGAAGTTAACGGCGTGTGTTTTCCTCTCTCTCCCTCTCTCTCTCTCTCTCTCTCTCTCTCTCTCGCCCGCCGCGGGAGGGCCACAGTCGGCATACGCACTTGCCCTCGGCAATGGCCACCCTCTCGGCAGCCAGCTCCTTCTGGAGGACAGCCGTGCGTCGGGCCTCGGCCGCGGCCTTCTGCTCGGCCTTCCAGACTTTCTCCTGGTTGGCCAGGCTACTGGTATGCCATGACTTTTTGGAATTCTACTTACAATCGGCCACATGTACAGGAGGGGAAGGATGGAGTAGGTAAGAGCTTCCGAAGGGCGCCAATCTCAAGAGAGGAACGACCAAAGAGATGAAAGGGAATGCGGGAGGAGCGCGTACCAGGGACATGGTGGCAGACGACCGCTGTCAGGGGGCCGGTGAGAGCACCAGCGTTCGCTACGGCGATACAGCGATTCAAAAGGGGAGCGAGGTCCGGGTTGAAGAGGGAGGGAAAGCTGCAGGCAACGGGGGGATGTGAAGAAAAAAGGAAATCGGGGGAAAGGAGAATACCGACCCCTTCGTCCGGTGCCCCCCGGGTGCCCATGAGCTTCCGCGAGAGGACCGAAGCTTAGCCTGCTCGGGGCCCCACCCACCCCATCTCTCGCATGATTGGGCGAGATGGCCCCCGGGGGAGGCAAGCCTCCGAGGACCACGCCGTGTGGGGCTTCCCCCTGCCTCGCGAACTCTTCCGCAACAGGGGCCGGTCCGATCGAAGGAGACCAGTGGAGAAGACCGATCTCCATTGGGAGATCCCGCGTCGTGATCACACCATATGACCTCGGGCTGCGCGTCCTCCAGGGGGGGGGTGCCCCGGTTCCGGATAGTGAGTGACCCGTGCCGTCTCGCCCAAATCCCCGCTCCCTCAGTCAAGCCCCCTCGGCCGACGCTTCGGGGCGAGGGGGGGGGGGTGGGCTGCCCGGGAAGGGGGTCTGAACACACCAGGGACCGTCACTTAGGGCCTGGGGGGAGGGAGGGTGGGAGTGGGGGCGCGCGGTGTCTACCGCCGCCCTGGCTCCCCTGGCTCCCCCGCTCTTAGCTCCCGCCACCGCCCTCCCGATCAGCTGGGGGGCTGTCAGGATCCCCCTCCGGCGAGTGTCACCAGTCCAGGCTTCTTCGCCTCTGCCTTGAGGGCTGGGTCAGGGCGCACTGCCCGCCCCGCGACCTGATCTTCCTGCATGCCATTTCCCCGCGTCCTCGCTCAAGATCGTGTGCGGCCACCCTCCTCCCTTCCTCCCCCTCCTGTATCTCCCCACTGCCCCTCTGCTCGCGTGTGCCTCTCCCTCTTCCCTTCGTGGAGCCTTGTACTGCCTCACCCTCCTCCCCCCCCCTCCCCTTCCCCAGGCGGCACCCGACCTTCCCCCTCTTCGCCTCCCCTCTCTCCGCCAGCCATGAGCGATTCTGCCAATACCTCCGCCACCGAGCCGACACACCTCGCACAGAGGATCGACGGACTTTCGCTCCAGCCGGCCGACCCCCCAGCCGACCCGAAGTACCCCTCTTCGGATTACTACCTCAAGAAGGCCCGCCGCCGTGCGGCCATCGAGGGGCATTCGGAGTCGGTCTTCTGCCAGCCCGCACGCATGGTTGATATTGAGGATCTTCGTGCAGCGGTTCCAACCGTACGCCCATGCCATGCGTCGACACACCTCCCTCGCCGACGCGCATCTCTCTCGCCTCCCTCCCGTCCCCTGGCCTCCTTCGCTGATATACCACCTGCCCCCCCCCCCCCCCCGCCCCCTCGAAATAGTTCTCCCCCGTCAACGTTCGCGGCCTTGTTCCTGGAGATGTTAAGCTCTGGTGCACCTGTGGCCTGAGCGCCAAGCAGCCCTGGTGCGATGGTACGATCCGCTGACTCCATCTTGGCCAACGGCCAGCCGTCGGGAGTCACCCCGAAACATCTACCCGCGCATTGTATCCTCACACATGTGCTCTCGATGTGCCCAGGTGCCCATCGGGGTACGCGTTTCCGGCCTCTGAAGTGGGTGGTCCCGAAGCCGGCCAGCTCCGCCACAAACCCCAATCCCAAGCCCCCACTTGTGTATCACATCTGCTCATGCAAGTATACTGCCATGCCGCCCTATTGCGATGGCGTCCGTGCGTCTCCCCACTCCCTTGTCTGCTCCTTCGCCGTGTGGCACGCCCTCATTTGGGCCGATCCCAATCACTCGCTCACCGTCCCTGCCATTGGACCACTGGAAGATGTCATGTTTCCGCTCAATTACGTCCACAAGCAGGCCGATTGCCCGGGGCCCCATACTCCGGGAGTCACGCGCCTGTGCGACAAGTGCGGCTGGGCGTGCCCGGATCTCAAGCGTGCTTGGGCCGCGGAAAATCACCCAGAGCTGACCGCCGCCACGGCTGGCGACGCCAGCGGCGAGGAGTCGGATCTCATTTCGGACTTCGAGCTGAGCGACACGGATGCCGACTACACACCCTTCCGCCCAGGAGCCGGATGTGGCGGCCCATGCCAGGGATGCCCCGTGGCTCCGTATGCCTGCCATGATCATCAGGAGGCCCATCAGGCGGAGGGGGACTCCGACATGCGCGATTCCTCCCCCTCTGGGGACCAGCCTTCGGCGGCCGAGCTTTCGGTGCAGATGGATGCCGATGCCTAAGGCAACTCCCACACGTGTCCCTTGAGCCCCATCTCCGGAAAGATATTTCCTTTGCACACATGTTGTTGCCAGTGCGCTGCCGGGAAAAAGGCCGCGCCGCGTGCCAATCACATAGACCCATTTTACTTGGAAAGAAGTCTCACACGATGTGTGCGCGTGCATGTGTGTGTGTGTGTGTGTGTGTGTGTGTGTGTGTGTGTGTGTGTGGCGGACTGTTTGTTGAAGCAAGTCTAGTATATTTTACATGCGCACGCGGCAAGGGGAGACACGTGGCCAGCTAAGCGTAGGTGAGAGAGGGAGGAGGTGAGCGAGGAGAGACCTCATCTACATGACCAGATCATAGAGGGTGCCGACCTGGGCACGGGTGATGCCGACCGCCTGCGGGGCGTTGAGGTAGAACACGGTGTCCGAGGTCTTGTGGTAACCAGGGTAGTCGGTCTGATCGAGCTCAATGGCCAGGAAGCAGGGGATGCCAGCATTCTGGAAGGGCACATGGTCCGAGCCGAAGGAGTAGTCGCTCTTCTCGTACGAGAGCTCCGGCGCATGCTGCTCGACATTCTGCGCCATGACCGACATGAGGTCCTGGATGTCCGCGTCCGGGGTACCCTCGATGAGGACACCGAAGTACTTGTCCGAGTAGCCAATCATGTCCATGACCAGGGCCTTGGTGACGGTCTGCTCGCCGGCCGAGTCGCCTGGCACACCGGCCTCGGACAGCTGGCTGACATAGTACCGGGAGCCGATGAGGCCGTGCTCCTCGGCACCGAAAAGGACAAAGTGCACGGTCCGGTCGGTCTTGACATTGGCCATGGCCTGGGCAGCCAGCATGACGGCCGCCGTGCCGGAGCCATTGTCGATGGCGCCAGGGGCGATGGTGGTGGGCTTCGGCGAGGTGCTATCCATGTGGGCACCGAAAACCACGACCTCATTGCGGTTGGGGCCAGTGCCAGGCTTGATGGCGATGACATTGTGCGTCTCGATGCCGTTGAAGGTGAAGGGCTGAACGATCGACTGATAGCCAAGGAGCTCAAAAACCTGGAGGAGCACACGCCCCGTGGGAGGGGGGATTAGCATGATGCCGAAGACAGGCGGAAGAGGAGTAGACAGACCACATGGGCAAGCGTGCGTGCATGTGCGTGCGTGTGTGAATGTATACGACGCACATCAACGAAGTAGTCCGACACAATCTCCGACTCGGGAGTACCAATGTAGCGGGTGGTGATGTTGAACTGCTGGCCCTTGTGGATGAGCGGGATCTCACCGGAGATGGAAGCCAGGAGGCGGGAGTAGTCGTTGGTGCGGATGCCGTTCAAGAGCTTCTCCTTGGCGCTGTTGTCCTCCTGGCGAGCCTCGGTGGCGGTGGTGACCGGCGTGCGGCGCGAGAGACGGTGCTTGGTCTCGGCCAGGTTGACATCATTGGCGGCGATGACCATGCGCTGGGCCAGGTCCGGGTGGGACTCGAGGTCTAACAAAAAGGGCGACAATGGGGCGAGAATGAGAACACACAACACCGGAGAGGCAGGGAAGAGGGGAGCACAAGGCAGACGTGGCGGGCGGATGATACGTACCGCGGAGGCCAGCGGAGGTGGCCTCGACGTAGGCGAGGGTGTTTTCGTCGTTGAGGAAGATGACAGAGGCTATGCGGGGGGGTGGGGGGGGGGGGGGGCCGGATGTCGTGGGTGAGGATGGGGGTGGCAGGATGTCTCTTGGTCTGGAGATCACGAAGAAAGGACGTACACTCATCGGCCAGGACGCGCGCGGCGCTCATCTGGGGCTCCTCGAAGGAGACGATCATTGGGACGGTCGAGTCATCGTGGCTCGAGCGAGTGAAGTGACGGCAGGCACGCGAGCCGGAGGCGAGGCCAATGTAGTTGGCGTTGTTCACAAGGCTGAATGTGTGGTGGTGGTGGGGGGGGGGGGGGGGGCGGGGGGGGGGGGGGGGGGCAGAGCCTGGCGAGAGGGGGGGGGGGGGGGGGGGAGGGGGGACGACAAAAGGCGAACACAATCGCGCGAGTGAGAACTTCTGCGCCGGAGGCGAACAATGAAAGAGCTAGTGGCGAGCACGCGCGAAGGATGCGAACCTGATGTCGGAACCGATGGCAATGGCACCAGTGCGCTGAACCCAGAAGCTGGGGTTGCCATAGCAGACGGAGAACTCGCGAGCCACATCAAAGGGAACGATGCGGGCCGAGACCTGGCTCAGAGCAATCAAGCTCATGAGGGCCAGGGAGAGGAGGCCGGAGAATTTGAACATTGGCGCCACGAGAGGGTGCTTGAGTGGGAGGCGAAGTGAAGAGGGAGGAGAGGAAGCTGGCAGAGAGGCGCCGCTGGAGGAGGGGGGGAGAGGGGAGACCTTCTGGAGCCCGCCCGATCAGGGCTACATCGAGGGGAGCAGCCTTTAAAAACCGGGCGATCTGTTTCCCGGCTACACATTGCTGCTTCCTTTGCAGACCCCCCCCCCCGGAGGGGCCCAATCTTGGGCACAACTCCTCCGAACGAGGGCGTGCTCAGGACGCCATGGTCACACCCCAATCTGTTTGCTTACATCGATGCTCCCCAATAGGAAAGCCCCCCCCCCCCCGATGTCGCCATCCGCTGGCTGGAGATGACCGGAGAGACGCATCATTCGCAGGATAGTGACGAGAGGGCCACAGGGAGAGAGGGAGCGTGAGAGATGGTTCAGCAGCCACCGCAACAACAGAAGATTCGCCCCCCGCCCCCCCCCCCCCCCCCCTCTACTGGCCAATTCATTGCGGCCACTCTATGGCAGGCTCTGCTTCTGCCTCTCCCACTCACGGTTCTCTCCC